CCGATGTTACACTCCTCAAGAGCTTTCATTTGAGTACCCACATGGCATTTTTTATATATTTTATATATTTGATATTTGTGAAATATATATAATATATAAAATATATGAAAATTTGATGTGGGTACTTAAATGAAAGGGCTCGATGAGTGTAACGTCGGGGTGAGCTTATATCTTTAAAAATGTCAATATTTCACAAGATAGAAGGTCATTTCTTAATTATTGACATTTTTTAAAAAATAAACTCATTTTGATGTTACACTCATCGAGAGCTTTCATTTGAGTACCCACATGCATTTTGATATATTTTTCATATATACATATATATTATATAATATATATAAATATATAAAAAATTGATGTAGGTACTCAAATGAAAGGTCTCGATGAGTGTAATGTCGGGGTAAGCTTATATCTTTAAAAATGTCAATATTTCACACGATATAAGGTCGTTTCTTAATTATTGATATTTTTAAAGATGTAAGCTCGTCTTGATGTTATGCTTATCAAGAGCTTTCATTTGAGTACACACATGCATTTTTGATATATTTTTCATATATACATATATATAATATATATAAATATATGAAAAATTGATGTGGGTACTCAAATGAAAGGTCTCGATGAGTGTAACATCAGGATGAGCTTATATCATTAAAAATGTCAATTTTCACAAGATATATCGGTGTGTAATATACTATTTAAAATGTTTGTTGATTTCAACATAATTTAATTAACACATATTTTATTCCAGAACACTCTTTCCAAAGGATTACTCAGAAGATCTTGCGGTAGTAATGGTAAAATTAGCGGACGTAGATCCTACAACGCGGCCTTATCAGCTCACAGTAGCAGAAATCCACCGACTTTGCTCAGCTTACAAGTATATTGTCGAAAAACATCCGGATATTAAGGATTATAATTACCGAGATAGTAAAAAAATCGTAGCGTCCGCGATGACCAAGAGTATTTACATACGTGAACTGAAGGAGGGGGAAGAAATTCCTCCTGATAATTTTGTACCACCTAGAGTAAGTTGATTAGAATAATTAATTAAAAAAAAATATAACATTAATATTTATCTCACATTTATTTTATCAGAATTCCAGTTTACGTACAATCGAGCAAGGATAATATTGGATTTATTTACAGCCATTTGAACATATTACATTTAATTATAATTATTGTTTAATGTAATATAATTTTATCAAAAATTTATAATTTACATATTAAAAAAAAAACATCAATGTATAGTTTTATAATAGATCAGTTATTATAATAATAATAATAATAATTATTCTTTCGTTATTTAATTAAGAATTAATAATATAAATAAATTTAATTTCAGAGTCCTTAACTTCCAAACTCGATAAAATAAAAAAAAGGAATTATAATTAATAATTAATAATTAATAAAAAATAAATTTGAAATCCCAAATCACCGATCAATATCACAGCTACTCAATCTTTTGAAAATATTAATTGAATTTTTTTTTAAATAATCCTTAAATATAAGATATATTATTTTTATGAATATCAATAATATATATAAGGATCACTTGGAACGCATCCTTTCTCTTATTTATTTTTAATTAATTAATTAATAATAAAAAATATAAACAAGTTACGTCTTAAAAATCTCAAGGTTTTAAAAATTGACGTCTGATCTATTTGGTTATTAATTAAGTAAAAAATATTAATTCGGTCTCTTTAAATTAACTTCTTGCTACTCCACATATCATAATGTTCGGAAGAGCTCCTCGACGTCTTCGCCAGGCGCCCAGTGACTGCGCATGCGCTTGGAGTGTTCTACACCATCTTTTTGTTCTTGCACCATCTTCAGCCTTAAATTTAAATATATTCATTAAAAATTTGTTATTTTTTATTAAAAAAAAAAAACAGTTAATTTAAATAAATAAAATTGATAATTACTTTAAATATAAAAGTTTCCTTGGAAGCAAGTTCTTGGATTTCAAAGTAATCTTCTAAATCCGCTTCACAGCAAACTATGCATTTATCTAGGTACAATGGCTCCTAGAGTAAAAAATAAATAATAAATTATCAATGTTGCAGTCACATTAAATAATGATTTTTGTTAAATTGCACTGTACTTTCTTTAATATTGACGTTTTTAAAGGTATAAGCTCATCCTGATGTTACACTCATCAAGAACTTTCATTTGAGTATCCACATGCATTTTTGATATATTTTTCATATATTTATATATATAATATATATAAATATACAAAATATATGAAAAATTGATGCGGGTACTCGGTACTCAAATGAAAGGTCTCGATGAATGTAATGTCGAGGTGAGCTTATATCTTTAAACATGTCATTAGATCATAAGATACAAGGTCATTTCTTAATTATGTATCTAGATAAGTGAATGAATAGATTAATAGGTGAAAGTTTTAATTTATCGTGGAACTTACTCGTAGAAGTGAATAGCGCCCAATTTTTTCTTTAACCAACAACAAAGTCGCTTCTTTGATGCCGATCTGTCTCGGGAACAACGAGTCGTCATTCAAATCGACAAACTCCGTATTGGACTGGACGAGAATAGAAAATAATTACGATCAATAATTACACATCAGCTAATGGATACTTGTAATTGACTGATAAAAAGAAAAAAAAGTGTATTTACCTTTCCGTTAGTAACAAGCATTGCAATGACAGGTGCTAATTTAACAGTTCTTCCTCTCCGCCAATTATTGTCGGTCGGTTGAGCAACGAGAAGACGGCCCTCCAAAACAAAACGCGCTTCTTCGTGTGCCCATTCAAGAACTTCAACAGCCATCTGCTCCAATTTATAAACAAGTTATTTATAAATATTATGTTTGGATATTTTTATTAAAATTTGAAATTTAAAACTACAATTTGAAATTAAAAAAAATTTTTTTTTTATAAGGTAAAAAAAAATTAAATTGTATTTTTATAAATCGCTTGAGAAAGCAAATATTTATCTGCAAAACATTGCATAGAATAATAAAGTATCTTTGAAATAATATCAACTAAATTATTTAAATATTCTCTCACCTTGCGTAATTTAATATTGACCATATCGTGTTCGCCATTAGACCTTCTGCCATTCTGGATTATTGAAATCCTGCGCCAGAGTTTTGTTGATGTCACATCTTTGGCTTCCTATTTAAATAAAATTAAATTTGATTAATTTAAAATTATTATTAAAATTTAATTTTTAATTTGATTTAAAAATAAAAATAATTTTTTTACAAAAAAGAAAAAAATCTTACAGCATTCATGTGCTCTAAATGAAGTTCAATATTGGCCCGTGCCTGTTCCAGCCTCTTTCTCGCTTCCAGGACGTCAATCCTGACAGAAGGCGTCGCTTTAAGGAGACGAGCGAGTAACAAAGGGTACTTAGTGACCCTCTGAACAGGTACCATGAGAAAAGAATTCAAGTTCATGCGTCTCAGAACGGTGTTCTCCATTTGCGAAACTTTTAGGAATATTCTCAGCAGTTCCTTTTCTTTCTCTAAGTTCTGGAGCAGACAGCTCGCGCCGCCTTGTCGGGTGCAGTAACTTTCGAATGCATGGAGCATTCTTTCCGACTCGAGGAAAATTTTCCCAACATCTACTGTCACTAAATCTTCGTCTCCAGAGACCTAGATTGACGAATTTTAGTGGTAAATAAATTGGAAAGAATAAAAAAATAAAATATTAATTGGATAAGTTGTTTGACTTACTTGACTGAGCTCGACGGCGTCTTTCAATTTCTCAGCAAGTAGTAGATTATGCTCAAGTAACTCTTCTACGTTGAGAAATATCGCAGACAATTGTTCTTGCGTTAAAAGACCAGCACGTAACATAGGTCGATGAAACTCTTCTAAAATAATTCTTAAATCCCTTCCGTACTTTTGCTCTGTCTCCACGATTTCTGTTATTATTTCTTTACGCTCGGCACGCTTCTTTGAACACTTCCGGCAAACGAATGGCGCGTAGACAACACCGCTGAAAAATTTTATTTGATATTAGAATTTAATAATAATAATAATTAGAAACCTTCCAGTCACTATGTCACTGGCTTGATTTGTGGACTATAAATAAATAAAATTTTGCATTATTAAATAATGAATTTTGTTAAATTGCACTGTAGTTTTTTAAATATTGACGATTTTAAAGATATAAGCTCATCCCGGTGTTACACTTATCGAGACCTTTCATTTGAGTACCCACATCAATTTTTCATATATTTGATATATTATATATATTTCACAATTACCATATATGTAAAATATATAAAAAATTCCATGTGGGTACTCAAATGAAAGGTCTCGATGAGTGTAACATCGAAATGACTTTATATCTTAAAAAATGTCAATAATTAAGGAATTACCTTTTATCTTATGAATTATTGACATTTTTAAAGATATAAGCTCATCCCGACATTACACTCATCGAGACTTTTCATTTGAGTACCCACATCAATTTTTCATATATTTATATATATTATATGTATATATGTATATATGAAAAATATATCAAAATGCATGTGGGTACTCAAATAAAAGCTTTTGATGAGTGTAACATCGAAATGAGTTTATATCTTAAAAAATGTCAATACTTAAGAAATGTGCTTATATTTGGTGAACTAATGACATTTTTAAAGATATAAGCTCACCCCGACATTACACTTATCGAGACCTTTCATTTGAGTACCCACATCAATTTTTTATATATTTATATATATTATATATATGTATATATGAAAAATATATCAAAATTGATGTGGGTACTCAAATGAAAGGTCTCGATGAGTGTATCATCGGGATGAGCTTATATCTTTAAAAATGTCAATATGTCACAAGATAAAAGGTCATTTCTTAATTATGTATCTAGAGATAGAGTATTTTCGAATGCACCCTAAATATTTATCATTATAAATTGACTATTGGTGAGAATCATATGAAACCTTGAAAAGGCACAAATTTAAATAATAATAATAATAATAATAATAATAATAATAATAATAATAAATTCATTGTTAACAGGTGTGTGAAGAAAAAATTTTTCCCTGAAAAAATTTTATAAAATTTGAATTTATAATTTTAATATTTAATAATTTACCTTATAAATAACAAGTTAAACTTTCTCTGATAAAAATCCCGAGAACAATAGTCTTCTATGGTCTATAAATTTGAATTATTATTAATTGTAGTTGCAGATTATAATAAATATAAAGTAATTGTTCTTTTACTTTATAAATTATCGTAAAAATTTTCCAAGGAAAGAAAATCGGAGTAAAATTAAAAAAGTAAAAAAAATAAATTCAAAATTTTCTAAAGTAATAAATTAAGACATTAAAATGATAATTAATGTTCAATGAGTATAAAATTTAATTACAAAGTTAAGAATAAAATTCAGTGTTATTAATTTTAATAACAAAGTAAAAATCGGCTTAAAAAATATAAATGAAAATAACGATATTATAAAAGGATAAAATTTAAATTAATTACGTAATTAACTTAACACTTAATCACGGACTTTCAAATAATTTATAACACTTTCTCGATAAATTGACCCAATAAAGGAAACTTTATTGATAAATTTATAATTATTTTGTCGATAAATAATTTAATCTTGTTATTTACGTCTATTGGTGACTAAAAATACAAATAAAATATGTAATTTTAATAATTAAATCATCAGTTTATACAGTATCACGTATTTCGTATCACTTTCACCTGCTATCAATTCAGTTTGTCACTAAATATAAAAGCGAAAGCGTATTCACGATTATATTATCGAATGCTCGATTTAGTTTTTATTTAAGAAAAAAATATACTGAGCGTTCTATCCTCCGGTAAGGCTGATGGTTGATGTCGCGAATAATTAAACGCCAAGTAAAGAAAGCTGACATAATATATAAATAAAATAGAATAAATGTATACATATATATTGGTCGGAATTTTATTGAATCTTTTAGCGCACGTACTTGTTGCTAACACAAGTAAAATTTAAAATAAAAATTGGCAAGCCCACAGTTGTGTACCGGGCTTTTACAACATTGTAAAATGATCTGCATGTCGATCAGCGTTTGCTTGCCACCTTTCTACAATAAATATGAAAGTTAACCGGAAAAGTGTGCAGACATTGCCAGGAATTAACTTACTCCATTTAAATATTTACATATTTAGTTATTTTTATTGTTTTATGAATTATTAGATTATAAATTATCTATTTTATTTTATTCATTAACATACTTGTCTTGACTGAACATGTAACTAAAAATAAAATTAGTTTTTTAGTAAATTCCAGGATGGAAACAAAATTTATTATTATTATCTATATTATTAAGAAAATAAGAAAAAGTTTGTGACCAGGATAGTCATATGATAAAATCAGTTTTTTTCGTGAAATTTAGTGTCATTGCAAAGGTCTCACCAATAGTCAATTTATTATGATAAGTATTTAAGCTGCATTCTAAAATGCTCTATCTCTAGATACATAATTAAGAAATGACCTTTTTTCGTGTCAACTATTGACATTTTTAAAGATATAAGCTCATCCCGATGTTACACTCATCGAGACCTTTCATTTGAGTACCCACATCAATTTTTCATATATTTATATATTATATATATGTATATATGAAAAATATATAAAAATGCATGTGAGTACTCAAATGAAAGCTCTTGATGAGTGTAACATCGGGATGAGCTTATATCTTTAAAAATATCAATAATTACAAATGATATTGTATCTTGTCACCTAATGGTGTTATAAAAGATATAAGCTCATCTTGATGTTACACTCATTAAGAGATTTCATTTGAGTACCCACATGCATTTTTAATATATTTTTCATATATACATATATATAATATACATAAATGTATGAAAAATTGATGTTGATACTCAAATTAAAGGTCTCGATGAGTGTAACATCGGGATGAGCTTATATCTATA